TGTAACAGATGGGAGTTATTTTTCACTCTAAAAGATTCACTCCTCTGCACTGAGATTAACTGTAATTTGCTCTTTATTTACTTTTAGGACAAAGGTAAAATGATAAAGAAAGGCAACTATAACCACAAATCACAGGCAGGAAAAGGCAAAAGGCAAAAAAAAAAAAAAAAACAAACAAAAAATAACCCCTCAGAGAGGAAAACGTCATGTCTTTCTCACCAAGCAGCATAACTGTTATAAATACATAGTTAAACAGCTCCACAGCATCCTGTCAGCACTAAGGATAAGCATTTAGGTCACACTTTCGCAAGCTTTTATACACAAGTTGATCGAATAGATAAGAATTACATTCTGAACATCTGAAAATATCACATAGCTGGAAGTGGACAGCATCAGGCCTAAGAGAGTCAAGATGTTCCATTACACTTTAATTTCAGTCATGCAAGGGATTAAGCAAAACCAGGAGAGGAGAAAAGACCAAACAAACAAAAACCTCACACAGCAGCTTTTCTAGGTAAAGAGGCAGAGAGGTATTAACACTTACTTTTTCCTTTTTTAAAGTCTTCTAATTCTGATAACGCCTTGTCTCAGTAAAGCTGAAGAGGCTCCTTAAGTATTTGTGCGAGTGCATGATTCCTGTTGTATCTTTGCCTTTCAGTCACACAATAAAACTGCTCAAGGAGCTTCGTGCAAAGCTACCAGCATTTTACCGCGGTATTTCCAGGCTGCAATGCAGCTTGCACCCAGACAACCTGCTGCCCTGTGGCCACGCTGGCTGAAGCCAGATCCAAAGCTGCAAAGGTTAAACACTAAAGCTTGCCCAGTCCCATTTAAGCGAGCTGTTAGCAATAAAGAAGAGTAAATGGGCTTGAGGGCAGTGTCAAATGCTTCTGAATCAACTAGACAGTCTCTCACACCAGCTCAGGGTTGCTAATACCCGTGATGGGCATGGGATGGGAGTGCATCTAGCTCTCCTTCCAGGCATGACAATATGATCTTCTTCTGTGGCCACCTAGAGATAGCTGGTAGCTCTTAATGACACTACTCTGGGTGGGATTTCCAGGGTAACGGTTCTCTGGCTGTTCGCAGGAGAAGTCACCTTCCACTCCCCCGACTCAGCTCAGAATTCACAGCAATCTCTTATTCCTTGCCCCACACAGAAATTTTAAGTTAACAATCCCTTTTTGTTAACACATGTAAATCTAAAAAGACTCCATTAGAATCAATAAAACTTTTTCATATAAATGTGGAGTCGGAATATAACAAAAGACAGAAAAGTAGAAAGAAAGAAAAAAGGAAAGCAAGAAAGTCCAAAGTCAACACCGGGGACCTTGATTCCACTCACTGCAAAAGTTAAGGACTGGTAAAATGCTCCTCATTTTACTCTCTTATATGAGAAAGTGAAGCTCTTACTCTTTCACACTCCTTCCTTCTCTTTCCCCAACACTCTCAGAGAGTTCTATCTTTAGCCAGTTCTCTTTGCTGTAATTATCTTACAATTGTAATTGGATAATCATCCAGACTTGGGAGAAACTGGTGTCAAGAGGAATCCCTGGGGATAAAGCCCCCATCTAATGAAACTGAGAGTTGCTAAATTAACAAAGGACTGACTAAATACAATTCTTGGCTTGCAGTAGAAATCTTGTTTTACCAGCAACTATTTTTAGGAACCCTATAACAAAATACATACACTTGTATATTCAGGTTCCTCTATTTTATTTTCTGTTAAATAAGACTCTGAATTTATGAACATAATGATCTGTGCATGTGTCTCATTGGGACCTCCGAGGTTGAAGGTAGCAAGTGCACTGGCTAAGATAAAAATTCCCAAAAGCGTAGGGAGAATTTGAACTAATTTCCCCAAATCAGTTTCCATTTTACACTCTCCAAGGATACACATGGATCTGTCACATGCAAAAGCCCTACATATAACACTGGGGCTGAGAAACGTGAGATAAGCCTGCTCCGTGAAAACATTGGGGTGTGGGGAGAAATCCTAAAATACCTCCCAGAAGAAGCAGTTTAGTTGCAGTTTAGCAGTTACCAGATCTCAGACATACATTCTGCTGATGGTGGAACAGAACAAAGCAGTTACAAACCCTGGAGGGAAAGAAACCTGCCTGTGCATGGCCCCCAAGCTACACCCAGGCTGCCAAGCTTGTGCAAGAACAGGGGGGCATTCAAGCGAGGCAAACATAACAGCCAGCTTGGCCTTCCTTCTGCCTCTACGTCTGGCCCACCTCAAGCAGCCGGAGGAGCACCAGCTCTCGCACAGCAGGTACAGAGATGCTACCAGCCGGGCTGGATCAGCCTGGCACCACAGAGGAGACGGCTCTTGGCTTTGCTTATTTGGACAGTGACATCCATGAGCTGTGTCAAGAGAAAGGCAGGGGAGGAAGGAGGAGAGCCGGCAATACCTGAACTGTGAGCTTCACTGTGGAAAGCATTTCAGTTCCCAAATAACATGGCACTGTTCACAGATTTCAGCTTATATAGGCTTTTCCATATATCTATTTTTATTCTTGAAGCATTCCGCGTTGCTGTATGATGAAAACAAAGACCGGACAGCACGGATGCTCACAGATACATGAACACATTCACATTACAAAAGTGGTCATAATCTTCCTGACTGTCCACCTTGCTAGTACAACTTGTGCTCTGAGAGCCAAGGTGGAACACCTCTCCCACACAGCCAGCTGCAAGGGTTATCTCTGTAGCAGGTTTTGGCAAGTCGGAGTCTTGCTGAAATGGGAGGACATTTAACAACAGTGGGGGACTCAGGACAGATGGGGAAATGAATATAAATAATGTGCCTGCCAAAATAACCAATATAAAAATCCAAACATAAGTGAGAAAAAGAAATAAAGAACATGTTCTGGCCTCTTACTCTGAAGGAGTGAAATGCTTCTTCCTTAGTGCCAGCAGCTGGCACATGCAGGCCTCATGAAATAAAGCTGGGACAAACATTCCCTGGCTCGTCCTTCTCATACATGTACCTCAGAGCTTAAAATTACAGCACTGAGGGCAGCAAGGAGGTGTTTCCCATACCTCCATGTACCCAGGCACCATCTAACATGCTGCCACATCACTCTCTCAAACCTCTGAAGTCTCTTATGTGTTCCTGCCAGGCACTTTGGAGTAGCACTACCTGACCCAGAGCATGAGCTTTCTCAAATCTGGACCATCTCAGTACTCATACCTGATGCACACTAGCTAATACTCAGATGCAGGATACCTGTGCAGAGTGATGAAGGTCTGAAAGGAGAGATCCCATAGAAGTTCAGACCCAGCTTTCCTTCACGGACTCTGGAGGGACCAGGCATAGGCAGACTTGAGCAATCACAGTTCTTCATAACCACTTTAACTCAAGCTACATCCAGTGATGGGAAGCTGTGTGCAGGTAGACCTGTCCTCTTCCTTACAAAGGGCATTGTGTTTGAAACATAACCTCTCACCCCACAGACCCCTGCTTCACCTCCATGCAGCAGCTCCCACCTTCCCAGCATGCCTTGCTATCCCATATCCTTAACTGCTCCAACAGAGAAGGAGTTCCCAGTGGCAGCAACAACTTCGTACCTACTTCCAAGGAAGGAGAGTGAGTGTTGGAGATTAATCCCCTCTGCTTGCCCTCCCCTGCTCACCACAGGCAGGCAGTGGAGACAGAAAGCAGGACCCTTCCCAGCACCAAGCCCTCCCAACAGAAAGCCCTTGGGCTGGAGTGATGCTTTCCATGCAAATAGGAGAAGCTTTGCCTGCAAGGAACACAAGACAGCAAGTAAATCTCCTGGAGCTGCCAAAAGCAACCTATTATAAATGGCCTTCTAAGTTATGAGATATGGACTTGCCACAGTACAGTTAATAAATAATACCCCTAATCCTTCTGTGTATGGAAGTTTAAGTTTAGTGACAGTCCTGCTTACCCAAGAGGGCCACAGTTAAAAACGGAGTGTCAGGAAAATAGTACTTTTTAATTACATAGCAAATAGGTTTTTTTTACAAAAGGAGCTTGCTACAATCTCCAAAATGCAGGAATAAAAAGCCTTTCCTAGGAACACAGAACTAAATGCATGGAACAAAAGCATCATTTTACAAGAAAATAAGATCTGTACAGAAAACCAGAATTTTTATCCACACATTATAACCAGCTATTCACAAAGCAGAGGCTGGGATGGGAAGAGAGTGTGTGTGAGAGAGTGTATTTATAACCCAGTTTACAGAAACATCCTAAGGCCCAGAGATGAGGATCCTGTTGTGCCAAGCACTGCACAGACACACTCTGAGAAACAGCCTGGGCTGAGAAACAAGCAGTGCCACTGTAATGAAGGGAAGTGACACTGGCACAGAAAAGGGCCACCTGAAGCACTGGAGCTCTGGTGGTCTCTTTTCTGCCCTTCCCCCCACCTTTTTTTTTTTTTTTTTTTCCCAGAAAAGCATTCCTACTGCCCAGTTTCATCCAGATATCCCCCCCCGCCCCTCCCCCCCCCCCCCAAAAAAAATGCTTTGCATAAGGGGACAGCTGTCCCCAACAAACACACTGCAAAAGGCATCTTGCTGCCAGCCCCTAATCACTTTCAGCTTTTTTCTTGGATGCATCTCTTCCCATTTATTTTCTTGCTGTGGCTTAAGTCTGATCCCTTCCTCTCCCCTCTTCCATTTAAAAAACACGTTTAACAGGGGAAGAGAGCACGTATCAGAAGCTCACGAGCTTGCGATGCGGACGACAGTTAAAGTTGCATTCGCCAGTGCACGTAGCGCTCTAGCTCGGAGCATCCAAATCTCCCTAACCCAAAGGAGAGAATTTAAGCAAACCGCTCCGCACCCCGGGTGCGGAGGCACGGCGCTGGCGGGGATGCTGCACAGGCGGCGAGACACGCATCCACGGCGCTGCGGCTCGCATCTGCCTTCACACCGGCCGCGTCCTTCACCGCGCGGCTCCGGGAGCACAGGCGCCCGTCCCGGCTCTCGCTCCCAACACCCCCTGCCCGCAAGTTCTCTCTCACCTTGGAGCAACGCCTCTCTCTCTGCCCGAGGACGCCGGGCTTCCCCAGGCTTCCTCCCGGCCGGCCGACGAGCGGAGGCTGCTGCCGGCTGTGCCTCGCCGGGATCGAACCTGCTGCCTCTGCCGCCAGAAACTTTCCCTCTGCGTGAGGGGAAGTTCGCGGACGGGAGGGGAGGGGAGCGGAGACCCCCGCTACCCCGCCTACGGGTACACGCGTGTACCCCTCACCTAAGGGTGCAGGGACCTCCACGCTGTCCTCTTCCTCCTCCTTCTTCTTCCTCGACCCCCAGACTCCGCCCCACTCTCACCGGCCGCCCCTTATCCCCAGCGCAGGGAGGGGAGGCGGGGAGAGTTACTCCGGGGAACTGGTAGCCGCCGTGGCGGGGGGAGCCCCACTCGACGGGTGGCGAGCGCGGGCGGGCAGAGGCGGGTTTGCAACGCGGAAGGGCTGCCGCGGCCTTCCTCCTGCAGCTCACGGTGTCCTGCCGGAGGAGCTGGGCTCCGAGCGCGGACCACGGCTCCCTCTCCTGGCCCGAGCTATCCTGCCGGCTCGAAGCCGCTGGTGCTGCGAGCGAGCGGGCGGGCGGGCGGACTGCTGCCTCAGGTCAGCGCGGCCGAGGGGCCCCCGAGCCTTTGGAGCCTGACATTGTGCGTCAGTACGTACCACTATAACGCTGCTGCAGTCCCCGCGCTCTCCGGAGTCACTTGCCCCCCAGGAAAGCAAAGTTTCCCCTCCGCGATGGATTGGGAAGGAAGGGCTCGTTGGCGAGAGCCCTGGCACCCACCGAGAGCCTGGGCACCGCGGTGCTGCCTTGTCACGAGCAAGTGGCATCTTTTTGCTGCATCCTTGCCACGAATGCAGCCCGGATGAGGCTAATGGATGAGGAGTGGGCACCTGGAAACAGACTGTGAGGGAAGTGATAGGGAGGCTGAGGAGTGGAAGAAGAACCTGCATGAATGTGGGCTGGCACCTTCTCCTAGAGAGTGAGGCCAGGGAAAATCTGCACAGTCTCTGGTGTAGAAGTGCCCTTGCCCTTATCAGGGATGAAAGCTCTCTCTATCAGGTTGGGCAGGAGGCTCTTCCATCCTGGCAGTGAGTGACCTGGCCCTATTTGCACTTTTGCCACCTATTATCAAAGTGATATGTCTGGACCCAAAGCCTCTAGTACCAGGGGAACTGTTGATTCAAAGTGCTGCAGCACTCCTTAGCACTACTGGCTACAACACTTGGACTGTGTTCAGTATGTCAGTCACTATCCCCAGGAGGTGGTTCCAGGATATCTAGCAGACCAAATTTCACTCCACCCCATGAAGCTCCTCTGCAACAAACCTATCCTGGAGAGCAGGGCCTGGTCAGGCACCTGTCGCAACCCCTCAGAGCCACTGCTACCACACATCTCCCCATCTTCTCTGCAAGGCCATGGGAGGCACCACTGCACATACTGCTGCTGAGAAAAGGGGGTCTTAGCCCTCATCAGCCTACCCCAGATCATCAAAGCGGGCACACCTGAAGTTCTCCCAGACCCCAAGGAAGGGTGGCTTGTCTGTGCCACAGGCTGTGAAAGAGTTGCAGTGGGAGGCCAGCACTGTTCTGCTGGCTCCAGCAGGAACAGCTTTTCCTCCTGCACCTTCCCTTCCCGGGGACTCTGGCACAGCAAAATTAGGCAAAAAGTTTCTTAACTCAGCAGCTTTCATGTCCCGGTGGTAAATGCCCTTGAAAATCTGCGTACTTGGCTTGTGCTTATAGTCAGCTCTACTCAAGCCATCTCTAACCCAAATCCATTCAAATATTTAAGTAACTTGTCGAGGCAGGGCTCTGTGTAGGCTAATTTATCCCCCTCTTGGGGCAGATGAGTCCATGTTTTGTCCATACTACCTGCACAGCTCTAGACCCAAGCTGTATTGTCTAGAGCTATATTAGGTATCTGTATACTTGGATGCATTACTGAATATAGGCAAAACTGAAATAGCAAGGCACATTTTGTGAGCTGCATTTTTCATCATACTTATGGAGAAGTGTGCACTTAAAATCTTCTATTGAAATACGACAGTTCAATTTTCTCATAGAAGATGAAATAATAAAAGGATTGCATAGTTTAGTCATGATATTTAATGCAGCTGTGGGAGTAGCTCTGCCTCTCCAGTGATTGTTACAAGAATTTAATAATAATAATAATAATGATACCTTGTTCTATGTAATATCTGCCATCCATAGATACAGATCTGGGATAGGACATGTCATTGTTCTTGTTTGGGAGGATTCGGGCACTGTTGCAATACTGGAAATGCAGGTTAAGTCATTGACACATACACCTTGGAAAATCCATACTGTTCCTAAATCCTAGCCTGCCAGTGCAAATTGGGGTCTTTAGGCCACTGTCGTTAATTTTCTCTGATTTTGAAGGAAAGCCAGAATTCAACTTTAGGCTTCATTGAAAGGCTTATGAATTAAGGTTGAAGACCAAGTTTCCAAAGACAATTTTAAGGCTACAGCTGACAGCAAAGCCCCAAACCACACCTGCTTATTGTGTTTTCATCGGAAAGGTTTCAAACTCCATTTGCTTACAGATGAAAAGAATCAGCAATTCCCTATTGTAAAATAAGGGTAATATTGCTCACTTGGGCTCAGTGCTGTCATAAGGATTATTTTTGTATAGCTATTTTTTATCCCATCCTCTCTCCACACTTGCATATGCTATTTCTGTGGAGGTTAAAATGCAACACAGTTACACTCCAGAGTGAATTATACTACAGTTTGAAGATCAATTCAGTAAATAGGAAACATTTTTTAAGCACAAACAAAAAAGCAGCATTGTGCCACAATTTTTGGGCAGGGAGCAAAGAGTAGCATTACTAAGTGAAACCACGGGGGGGACTTAAATAGCAGAGGAATACATTGGTGTTTAGCCACGACACTGGAGCTGTTGGCATTGCGGCTGCTGCAAAAATATTCCACAGATCTCCAGTAATAAGTGGCCAAAGGCCTTGGTTTGCTGCTGTTCTATTCCAGTTAGGCAATTTAGAACTAGAAGCGCAGGAGGATCCTGGGTTACATAGCCCAGTTCGCTGCCATGTCACACACAATGTTGTTTATGGTTATTTTCATGAAAAGACTCCAACTTAAAACAAGGTTGTGTTTTCTGCCTGTTACTCCTTCTAGGAGAGTATTCCAGACTGTCCCTTACCCTGACAGTCAGGAACATTCCTGTCATGTCCAGCACCAGTTTATTCCCACATACTCTGGCACCAGCATCGGCTCTCATTTCAGTAGCTGTTTTGCTCACTTCTCCTTACTCAAGTCTTTTTATGGAGCTGGTTCTTGTCTCCTTCCTTCCTCCCCGCAAGCTACACTGGACTGGCTTTTCAATCTTCTTTCCTAAATGACTCTCAATTCACCTCAGACCTCTTCCCTCCATCTCCTCTGGTTTCAATTAATCTTAAAGTGCATATGGATGTCTGAAAGTAGTTATAATATTAAATGGGAAGAGGTCTCACTGATGCTTCATACAATGACATTAAAGTCCCCATTTCTCACTGAAATATCTCACCTGGTAATCCCAAGATTGCATTTATCTTTCTGCAAATAAGATGTAGGGGTGACTTCATATTTCTCCTCCATTTTTGCTTACAATGCTAAGTTCCCAGGCTGGATCAGAAATTTGTTAATATTCCTTTATCAGTTCCCAATTCTCTTGTATTTGTCCCAAAACTCAGCCTGTGGGAAGTTTTCTGATTTGTTTGTTCATAGCCAGTATTTCTGATACTGGGAAATCAAGGTGGTTTCATAACTTCTAAAAGATATCTTCCTGCTTGTTACTTTACTCACACCCACCTAACCCATTTTTCCTCCTTTCTAGTTCAGGAAACAAGCCCTAGACTACACATAATTATAGTCTGTGTAGTTATAAATGAACGTGCCTTCTGTGTTTTACACCTACGTTTTAAGTGGCATTGAGAAGAGCATAACCTAAGATACAGGACATAGAAGAAACGGGAGAATGACAGACATTTCTAACATAGAAGCACATGAACCTCCCATCTGCTTCTGCCAAGGAAGCTTACCCACACATGGGTGTAAGGGCTGAGTATTTTCTGCCCAGACCATTTTCCAGTGAGGAACCTATGCCTGTCTGAGCAGGCACGCATGGCTTTCAGACAGGTATGCACTGCTCATATACCAAAATGCAAGAGGAGTTAACAACTGAATCTGTGTCAGATGAGTTTGACTAACACAGATCATATATTCTTTGCCATATTGACATACTGTGCCCAAACTAGGTCTCAAATCATCTCACTCCACAGTGAGCATGTTGTGTGAATCTCTACAAAAACCCTGCACAAGGAAGGATTGGAAGCACAGCTTCTCTGAGTTCATCTACATTTATTCTTGAGGATGTAACAAATAGCTGTTCCCCATGTTAATATGCCTCATTAGTGCCTCTTTCTCTGTGTTACAGTGGTGGTAGGACCTCTAATGCAAATGGTTTCTCAGAAGGAAACTTGACCTTACATGACTTGCACCTAAGTCCATTCAAATCTGTCACAAATGTTTTGATACAGCCTAAGGCTGGCGATATTTTCCAGTCTTATGAGTCTGTTTTCATACAAGCTAAAACTATTTTGAATCAACGATGGAGAGGAATATCTTCTCATCCTGCTAAAGGCTTCAACTTTTGGTAATTATCTGACCTACAAGTACATGTCGGACATGGTTCATATTTAGGATACCTGGACATCCTTCTGCACAACACATTCAAATATACCAAGTTGGTATTAATTGCCTGACCATGGAGATTGCAGGGACACTTAAACTGGGTTGGCATTTCAGTTGGGCAAGACCAGCATCTGTCTAAAACAGTCTTTGAAGAAAGCATCTACCCTGAGCATTAATTAGCTGCAGCTTACCTCGCTTGCTCGCTGATGCCAGTGAGAAGTGGCAGGCTGTCAGCAAATTAATAAAGCTAGATAGTCTGAATACAGCCTTGGTTGTCTAGGCAATTCCCTGCTGCTGGGTATTTCTACACAGAGTGGTCTCTGGGGTTGTTTTCTGGCTTTTCTTTCTTCTTTCGCTTCTCTGGCTGATTTTTTGCTGACACCACTGCAAAGGGGAAAAGGCACTGAAGGTAGCACACTGTCTTTCCTGGGTAAATGGAGCTAATGAAAAGATCTTAAT